GTGACACCGAGACGTTTAACTAAACATGTTCCGGAGACGTTTAACTAAACATATTCCTGAGATGTTTACCTAAACATGTTCCCGAGACGTTTAACTAAACATGTTTCCGAGACGTTAAACTAAACATGTTCCCCAGACGTTAACAAATACAGTCGAACATTTTTACCAGAATCTTCATCCGGTCGCACTTAACGGAATAATATGTAAAAGAAAGAACGGCATAAGAAACGGAGTATTTTAATAAATACACTTTTTTAACATGCAATCTTATCGGGCTAAATTTGGAAAGAACGGCTATAGCCATCTCTCTGCTAATGTCTGGCACGGAATCAATAACGTCTACCTCAACCATGTTACAAATTAGTGCAGATCGAACCATATGGTTATTCATTTGCTAACCGTTACTGGGTTCTCATTCGGGAAACTTCGAGTTCAAGTCCTCAGTAAGGTAATGGATATTATTTATGCTGGGGATAAAAATAAAACTCCCCACCTAAAGAGTTCGTATCGCCTATACACTCCATACAACCCTTAAATCAACAGATTACATACTTTCCCGACCTACACCGCTCTTTGGGAATTTCCATGGCAAAGTGGTTAGGCCGCCTGTGTTACGTTATTAGTTTAATTAGTTTTAAATCATGCAAGGACAGGATTATTAGTTTAGTTTAGATTATTTTGGTTTAGTTTAGTTCAGTTTAGACGACGGATCACCATCACGGCAGAAGGGGTAATCCATAAGTGCTCTGTTCTTGCCCGAAGAATCTCAGCGCAGTAGCACCAGCGGGGATCCTGAAATACTTTGTGTAGAATTTTAACTCAAAATTTTGTCCGGGCAGCGCCGTTAGGCCACTCTTCTCTATGTTCAACTACCAAAGGATTTTTAAGAGCGCAACAATACACACGGGCGTCCGGTCTTACTACATAGAGACCAAAGGAAATTACTATAAGTCTAGGTGAAAAAATCCTAGCCTTTAGCGAGGTTTGAACTCTGGACCTCTAGCATTCGAGGCGGGTGCCATATTTCGAGACCACGAAGCCCATTGAAGATGATTATTGATAGTTGCATTCTAAATTCCAACAACTTAGACCGTACAGATACTGAGTTACACATTTTTAAAGCTGGTCTGGACTTTTGGAAGGAACCTCAGATAAAGGGACACACGTGTTCTCGAGCAGTGGTTCATTTTACCCCACCAGGTCATCACATAAGCCATAAACACCTAATGACACAAAGGGCCACCATGCGGATGAGGATCACCCGTGGAGAGGTCCCGGAAACCGCGTTAAGCCGTTAGGCCATATTTATAGTCGGGCTGCTATATTGCGGCCTCTGGCAAGAGCCAGGGTGGAGCTTCCAAATAACGAAAAACTGCATCCCACAAGGGGATGACTATGTTCACGAGCTGCAGTGCGTAGTTAAAGATAGATACACTGACGAGCGGTCGAGCAGAATAGTAAAAGATTAAAATTTTTACACAGAGATGCTGAAGAAAAATTCAGGAGACCCACGATCGTATGAAAAAAAGGGTTGTCCTATAAAAGCTGTCACGTAAAAAAAAAAAAAATGGATATAGTATTAAAAATAAAGAAATGAGACAGAGACTAGGACTGAAAGCAGTCAAAGACCCTACAAGCAACAGTTCAGATGTTTTAGCTGATTGGCCCTGGTATCAACTGCCACAGAGAGCCATGCTGAAGAAATATAATAAGTAACGGTTAAGAGGGAGACCATGCAACCTATGGAAAGACAAAATCATAACACTGATGAAATGAAGACCGACTTATTTAAAGTACTAGCGACACCCGCCACGTTGCTGTGGTTCAGTCTGGCGATATGGAAAAGAAAGAAAATACAAACCACACGTGTCTAATAAAATTTATATCACAATTATTGTCTACGCAGATATATAGATAGTCTGGTTTGCCGACTCTAGGACAGGCAAAATATGAGTGTGTCTTTATGTTAGTTAAAATATGGTTATTTGTTTAATCACATGCTAAAGCTATGTTTTTTAAACAGCTGAGAGTAAAGCTTACTACTGTACTACTCATCATGTAGCAGGTCCTTTGCAGAACGTCGCTCTCATCAGAGTCTGTCTGAAAGAAACTCGGTCTCTCGCCAGCTCTCCTGCCTCATGTACTTTCATACTCAAGGAGTCACTTATATCCTGTGCCCATCTTCGTGTCGGTCGGCCCCTGCCCCTCCTTCCTGGTACCATGCTTTCTGCTATAATTTTTTCCAATCCGTCGTGGCGCTTGATATGACCAAAATATTTCAGCTTCCGAGAAAGGATGCTGTTTATTAGCCAATCTTCCTTGATGTTCAGATCTTTTAAGATGTCAATATTTCTCATCTTCTTTGCCCAAGATATTCTGAGAATCTTTCTATAGCATTTAAGCTCAAAAGCCCCTTTTCTCTTTCTTAAGGACTGAGAGATAGTCCACGATTCACATCCGTATGTAGCCACAGGGAAGATGCATGCTCTCAAAATTCTAA